AAAAGGGGGACAGCTTTCTTAAAAGCTGTATGGATGCTTTTTTTTGCCGGTCCTACAAAAGACACATTATGCAGCTAGCATTCATGGACGGAGTACTCCTGTCATTCTTGACTTTTAAAACACTGATGCAAAATGGTCTGGTAGTTATCAATCTGTATGTACTGAATGTTATTGCTTATTGAATATAATGAACTACAGGCTATGGAAGGTTGGTAGTTCAGCAGTTTGAGACCCGAGTTGCCGCATGACGGAGCGAGCTCCCGTCTCTAGTTCCAGATCCTGCACAGTTCGAAAGCAAGAAATTGCAAGTAGATAAATAGGTACCACTTCAGTGGGAAGGTAACAGCGTTCCGTGCGCCTCGGTGTGTAGTCATGCCGGCCACATGACCACGGAAATGTCTCCGGACAGCGCTGGCTTTTCGGCTTTGAAACGGAGATGAGCACCGCAACCCTAGAGTTGGATTCAGCTGGCTTTCGAGCAAGGGAAACCTTTACCTTTTTATGCACTTTACTAAATGATGATTATAAATAGAACACAATAGTTTGTTATAAGGTTTTTGCAGTTTATATTTATTTGTTGCTGGATTCTGAAACTGAAGCTCAAATACTTTGGCCACCCAATGAGAAGGGAGCACTCACTGGAGAAGAAGACCCTGATGCTGGGAAAGATTGAAGGCCAAAGAAGACGGGGACGGCAAAGGATGAGATGGTTAGACAGTGTCATCGATGCAACGAAAATGAAATTGAGCCAACTTCAGAGGACGGCGGAAGACAGGAAGGCCTGGCGGGATCTGGTCCATGGGGTCGCGAAGAGTCGAACTCGACTGTGCGACTGAACAACAACAACAACAGATTCTCCTAACACTGCCGCTCGGGTTGCTTCAGCCTCCAGGTGGAGCCTGGAGGGAGACCTCCCAGAATTGCAGCTGCTCTGCAGGCTACAAAGATCAGTTCCCTGGGAAGAAAGGGCTGCTCCAGAGGCTGGGCTGTTTGGCATTATACCCCGCTGAGGTCCCCTCCCCTCCACCAGGCTCCCTCCACACCCCCAGCATTTTTCCAACCTGGAGTTGGCAACCCTCTCTCTTTCGAACCAGCTCGGTGTAGCGGTTAAGAGCGGTGGACTCTAATCTGGAGAACCGGGTTTGATTCCCCCACTTCTCCTCTTAAAACCTGCTGGGTGACCCTGGGCCTGTCTCAGAACTCTCTCAGCCCCACCTACCTCACAAGGAGGGGAGGGGAAGGGAAAGGCGATTGTAAGCTGCTTAGAGAATCCTTAAGATAGAGAAGAGCAGGGCATTGAAAACTACTCCTTTTCTTCTTCTGAACTGAAAAGTGGCCGCCTCCTTACCCTCTTATCATGGGGAAAGTGCTCCAGACTCTCAAGTTCCCTGGTTTGCCCTTTTCTGCACACACACACCTAGCTTTACAATAAGGTTTTTTTTGGGGGGGTACAGCAGCCAGTTCTGTACACGGTATTGAAGGACTGGATCTCCAGCTGTTTTTTAAAATAGCACATGAGCCACCATTCATCCCCTCCCCCACACCTTTTGATCAGGACTGGGCCAGGAAGTTCAAAATTCTTTTAGCCTGTCTCATTTTTCCAACCAAAAACACTGTTTTTGACCCCATAGGGATGAATGGATGTCAGACCCAATAGGGAGGGAGTTCTGGCTGACTGGAAAACTGCATGGGCGTTAAGACTACCCCCCCCCCAAATCTGGTGGTTGGATTTTCTGTCATCTCCTTTTTAAAAAAAAACATTTTATTTTCAGTTTTTCAACATCATACATTTATATCTTATTTTCTAACATTTAGGGGGTTACATTACACAGTTTCTTCATACCATTTAATGGCTTTTTGCCATTTATGCTTAAACTTTTCGTCTGTTTTCCCCGCCAAAAACATGTTCAGCTTATCCATTTCGATTATTTCAAAAAGTTTGGTAATCAAATCTTCCTTACTCGGTATTCTATCTGTCTTCCAATTCTTTGCAACAAGTATTCTTGACATTGTAATTATATATAAGATAATACATAGTTCGTTATATTTAATTCCTTCTGGTGTGATATTTAATAGGAAAATTTCTGGTGCAATCGGTAAATCTATCCCTGTAATATCTTTTATCAAATGCTTAGTACTTTTCCAAAATCTTTGTATTTTCTCGCACCTCCACCATATATGGAAGTACGTTCCTGTGTTATTCCTACACCTCCAACAGTTCCCGGAGACGTTAGCGTAACATTTTAGTAATTTATCCGGCGTAGATGTAGATCTTAGAAATTTGATCGATCTCCATGTTTGGATTTTCTGTCATCTCCTCGTAATTCAAGCCTTCGTGTGTGTTTGCCTTCCCTTCAGACTTGGGACTGCTGCTTTAACCCGTAGCTCTGATTCATTTTTTCTGAGAACTCTGTTGAAATGCGCTTAAGAGTGCCTGCCGGAATGGATGTGGCTCAGATGTATGTCTGCATTGCAAAAGAGTGTGTGGGAGGGTAGTGCCCTCCCCTCCCCCCGCCCCCAGCAAGCCCTTTACTCACAATCCCATGGTGAGCACAAGTGCTGTTTGGAACAGCAGAGGTTGCTTAATGAACCCAAACCCCAAAGAACCCTGGGTTTGCGCAACGCTTCCCTCATGTTCCGTTTCTTGTGAGTGGCTTCTCACAGCTGCTAGTGGAAGCCTGATGAGGTAGCACTGGGACCAGTGTGTATGTGTTATGCGTGTTTTATGTGTTATTGATTTATATTTTATTTTACACAGGGGTCATTTAGCAAAAAAAGAGGTGCAGGAGCTCATTAGCATAATTCATTTGCATATGCCACACCCCCTGACATCACCGGAAGTTTGTCAGAAGGCAACACCCACCACTCAGGCTCCATTGGACTGTTTTGGATTGCTAGCTATGGGGGGGGGGGGGAATGTGCAGATCTATCCTTGCAGAGGAGGGAGAGCTTGTCCCTGAATAAAACTTGGTCTTAAAGGTGCCACTGGACTGTTTTGGGCCAGGAGGGCTCTGCAGTTTACCTGGCTGCTTCTTGCTCTGACTGAGGGCTGCTGGGAGCAGGGGGTGGGGCTTGCTGCATGTGCCCACTCCCTGGGCTCTTTACTGCCGGAGCTCCGCTCCTGTAGGAAATGACCCCTGATTTTACAAAAGTTCTACCCTGCCTTTCTTCCTGTGTGAGGGCTGCCAAGGTGGTGGACAATTAAACTTACTGAATAAAATCACATTTTAAAACCATTAACCGTCCCCTCCAATTCAACACATTAAAACGAGAGCCGAAACATAAAAACAATTAAAACATGGGGCGTCTATGAGCGGGTACCGTTTCCTCCTGGGATCTGTAGTTCAAGTTAGGCCCCTCCAAGTCCACTGAAATCAAAGGGTGTATAAGGGATTGCCTCTGTTTAGGATTGCCCTGTGTAGTAGTACGTGCCATTTTAATCTTCCCAGCCTACTTGCTTGCAATGCTCCCTCTAAGCTGTGGAGTCCTGGGAGCAAAACTTCTACTTTGTGGGCTACTGGCATTAAAGTTGTGAGCCAGCGATTTGGCTACTGCATACATTAGTTTGCTCTGGAGCCATCTTCCCTGAGCGAAGACCAAAACGTGTGAGCCGGAGGCTAAAAAACTGTGAGCTAGCTCACATTAACTCAGCTCAGAGGGAACACTGCGAGTTGTGTGTATGCTGTAATTCCAAGGAGGTGCCAAGAGTTGTAGGGTGTGGCACTGTATGCAGAACTCAGGTGCTTGAAACCTTTGTGTTCATTGTTCTAAAAGAAAAACAACAACAACATGTTCCTAGTCCTCAGGGCTGCAGACATCAGTGAGATGTCTAGCTTGGGAAGCACCTGGATATTTTGGGGGTGGAGCCTGGGAATGGCGGGGGTTGGGGAGGGGAGGGACCTCAGCAAGGTATCACGCCAGACAGTCCGCCTTCCAGAGCAGCCATTTTCTCCAGGGGAACGGGTCTCTGTTGTCTGGAGACTAGTTGAAATTCCAGGAGATCTTCAGCGACCAGCTGGAGGTTGGCAACTGTAATGGGTGACGTCATGGAAACTGCATAGGTCACCCAAGGTTCGGGAGGCGACTTTCACTGCCCAGCCGTACACTGCCCTCCCTAAACAGGATTGCCAACTCCAGGTTAGGAAATTCCTGAAGATTTGGTGATGGAGTCTGGGAAAGGGAGGGGCCTCAGCAGGAGGGGGTTATAATGCCATTGAGTCCAGCCTCCAAAGCAGTCATTTCCTCCAGGGGAACAGATCTCTGTAGTCTGGAGATCAGCCGTAATTCCTGGAGATACATCTCCAGCCGGGGAAGGCAAGAAGGTCCCTGAAGTCCCGGGCTATAAGGCTGAACAAATACACTTTTGAGAGCCTGCAACCAATAGTTCCTCCCAACAATCCTCAGCAGAGAACAGAACTTCTTGGAAATTGCATTCGAGGGATGTTTGAAGGAGGCGAGGATTTAAGCTCCAATCTGGCCAGAAGGAAAGCCCCCCCCCGCATGCGCACACATGCGCAGCCGGCTGTGCTCAGTCTCCGGTCGGTGGCTTCCTCCCTGGCATCTGATCGTGCCGGGGAGCAACGGCGCGGCGGCTCAGGGGATCTATGTGATCCCGCCGCCACGTGTTTCTTTTGGTGCGGCTCTGAATAGCCGCACTTTGCCCGTGTTTTTTTCCTCCCATGTGGCAGGGACCCCCGTCTGGCAAATTAGCAGGAACTGCTTTGCATATTAGGCGACCCACCCCTAATGTAGCCAATCCTCCAAGAGTTTACAGTAGTCCCTGTAAGAAGAGCTCTGTAAGCTCTTGGAGGATTGGCTACATTAGGGGTGTGTCGCCTAATATGCAAGGGAGTTCCTGCTACAAAAAAAGCCCATTTTGAGAGGTCTCCAGGTCCACCGGGAGGCTGGCAACCCTAAGCTTTCACAGACATTAACTGTGACACTGTTTTGTATTAGACAATCAGGTGTGATTTCTCTCCCCCCCCCCACCGCTACTGTAGGACCAGCAGAAGTGCGTGGAAACCGTTGAGCTGGAAAACTATGAGAAATGCCAAGACTTGCGGGCTCTCTTGAACAGGAAGCATCGCTTCATTTTAATTCGCTCTCCAGGTTACAAGGTAAGGGGACCCCTTTCTCTTTTTCTGTAAACTCATTTCTCCCTCCCCCCCGGGAAGTAAGTGGGTTTCTTAGCACTCTGTTGGCCCTCAGTGAAGAGGGATTTAGTCCATATTTGGCAAGCACCCCTCCAAATCTTCAAAGGACAGCTTGGCTCGGAGTCGTACGTTCAGACCTCGTGCTCTGGGGATCGGAAGCAAACCTGTATCGGAAGCTGTCCTATTCCATTGGGTGGGGTGTGGTCTAGCAGTTAGCGCATTTGGCTAGAATAAGGGAGACCCAGGTTTAGAACCCCTGTCTGATGTGAAGCAGGCCTCTCAGCCTGACCTACTTAGCAGAGTTGTTGTGAGGGCAAAGGGCTGGGTGGAGACTGGTGTATGCTGCCCTGTGCTTCTTGGAGGAAAGGGAGGATCAAATTGGACCAAAAGAGCTGGTGTGGTGCAGTGGTTAGAGCAATGGTGGCGAACCTATGGCACGGGTGCCAGAGGTGGCACTCAGAGCCCTCTCTGTGGGCATGCGTGCCATCGCCGCAGCCAGGCCCAGACCATCATTAAAGTGTTGAATTCTCTGCCAAATAATTTTAAGTAAATGAAAGCATTTGGGATTGCTTCCCTTACTTTGTCTGGATCATCTTAAGTTAATGTATGAGTTGTTTTTTCTAAAGTAAAACCTCAGTATTCAGGTTAAATTGCTGTGTTGGCACTTCGCGATAAATAAGTGGGTTTTGGGTCGCAGTTTGGGCACTTGGTCTCTAAAAGGTTCGCCATCACTGGGTTAGAGTGTCAAGGTAGGATCTGGGCGACCCAGGTTCACATATGCTCTTTGCCACGGAAGCTCTCTGGGTGGCCTTGGGCTGGTCTTAGCCTAAACTCTTTCTCAGGGTTGTTGTGATGATAAAACGGAGGAGAAGAGACTGATGTAAGCCGCTTTGGGTCCCTATTATGGAAAGAAGTAATAAATGAAGTAAATATTATGTCAGCGTGCGGGTGGTGTTCTCTGTTCTGACCGACCAGGGCGTTCCAAGATTTCAAGTAGAGAACCGACTTTTAACTGGGGATGCCAGGGATTGAATTCAGGCCTTGTTGCATGCAGCCCCGAGGTTCTACAAGTAGGCTGGGGCCATGAGTGTATTTTGCTGATTGGTTTAACTTGTTCACAGGTGACCAGGTTCAATCGAGTGAAAATATCCTCCGCTAGCAGTAATGTATGGTATGCCCATGCTAGGGCATATCACACACAAATTCCAACTAACAGTGTGACATCACAGTGTGAAATCTGTCTCCTGGACACGGGCTCCCAGGCACCAGCGTGCTTGCTCATGTGCACCACACACACACACCCATGTTTGAAAGGAGATTTGAAGGTAGACGTTCCAGATACTAATTTGACCCTCCAGCCCAGGGATCCCCAAACATTGTTGAGCTTGTGGGCACCTTTGAAATTCTGACACAGGTTGGTGGGCGCCAACCACAAAATGGCTTCCTTTTTTTTTTAAAGTATATTTATTAATTTTCATACATGCTCATCAGTTCATTATTATACATACATCTTAGAGTCATTTATCCATTTTCTAACCATTTGTACATTCCCGACCATCGTTTTGCAAAAATTTCCCTCCTGTAACATTAAACTCAATTTGTCTATCTCGGCTACCCCCATCAATTTCTCTATCACTTCTTCTTGTTTTGGGGTATTATCTTGTTACCAATACTTTGCCCATTGTATCCTCGCTGCAGTTATTATATATACTATTAAAAATTTTTCATTATACTTAATGTGTTCTGGAAGTATATTAAGTAGAAATATTTCCGGCAAAATGGCTTCAATATTTCCTCAAAATGGCTTCCTCAGGAAGTGGCGCCAACCACAAAATGGCTTCCTCAGGAGGTGGAGCCAAGCACAAAATGGCTGCCTCTGGAGGTGGTGCCACGCACACAGAGGAAGCCTAAGTGCAGGGGAGAAGACAAATACCCTGGGAAAGTGTAGTGAAAGAGAATAAAACCAACCCTGTGGTGACAGCTGCCACTGAAACAGTGTTGTTTTAACCTGCCCAGCCAACTGGATCACCGGTAGCCATTCAGAAGCTCTGCTGGCCTCTCCCATTTTCTAAAAACATTCGGTGGGCACCATTAAAGGTGTTGGCGGGCACAGATGGACATGTTGGGGAGGGGACCCCTGCTCTAGCCACGGCAGCACACTGGAAATATTGCTAAAGTGTTTAGAGATTTCCTTGGGTGCAGTTACATGACGCAGAGGTAGTTCCCATGTTCTGCGGCAGGCCTCCTGGAATGTACGGAATGTTGAGAACTGAACACTTCATTTAAAAAAACCCCAAAGTTCTAGTCCTTATGATGCTGGAGAAAAGAGTTCTCCAGAGAAAAGAGTTGTCTCATTCATTTGCTATTTCTGTTGAAACTTTTTGAAGCACTGGGGGGGGGGGAATTTAGGACGGTCGCTGAAGAGCTAGCCCCAACTTTGGCTGAAATTACACGTGATGGCCGGTGAGTGTGAGTCTGATCCCTTTAAAGGCCTTACAACTGATGGACATGCTGAAGGTGCTGTGCGCGCACACACACACCCGCACTGAGTTGATTCTCTTTTGTTGTTCCAGAACAAATTGTGCCTTAGCAGTTGTTGCATTTTGTGAAAACGTTCCGC